CATGATCCAAGAAGCATCAAGTCCTAGAGCCCTTTCTTGAACCAACAACCCCAATGGTTAAGAATTGCTGGTGGCCCTGGGCCTATTGAGTACCTCTTGGAAACACCTTGATTCCGAAGAAATAGAAAATACCGAATTTTTTAAAGAACTACCTTTTCAATGTTTGGGGAGTTACCATGGCAGCTCCTGGAATGGTTTGTCTGGTAGTGAGTCGTGACTGTTGAGTGCTTAGGAGCACCATGGCTATAGCCCTTGGTTGTGGTGTGGGGGCCCAGCAGCTTCCTGAGAACAAATTCAGACCTTCATATTTGCTAGTCATGTGTTGTACCACTTGCTCTATCTCCCTGGCCCTCAAACATGCCTTACAGGTCCACCAAAACATTCTGAAAGCTCATCTAAGTGGTCTCTGAAAATTTTTGGTTTTAGATTGTAGTAGACCTTCTTTAGAATATAGTCTTCATGGAAGGAAATATTATCACTCAATTAAATTTAATGACTTAATAGCACTATTTTCTCTCTTAGCAGTTTAACGTAAAAATTATTAGTTGCTCCTGAAAAGCATTCACTGGTCATTTTCCATTCTGTAGATAGTCACTAATGTCATTAATAATAATCAAAATGATAAGTTAGAATGGAATGATTTTTGGAAATAAGGATTTCAAATAGAAGTTTTTGCTCTCACAAATATAAATGAGTACCTGAAGTAAAGTTTCAAAATTATTCTATATAAAAAAGCAAGATATGTCTATCAGAGGTATTTTTCAGGAAATAAAAAGAAATTTAAAATCTATATAGAATCATAATATATCCTAAATAACCAAAACAACATGGAGGGAGAGTAAGAAAAATGAAGGCATCATACATCTTTAATTTAAGAAAGCAAAAGTTAACTACAACAGTATTAGAATAAACAGTAGCAAAAACCAAATGAAAAAGGACTGAAACAGTAGTACAGCGGGTATAGTGCTTGTGCTGCACTAGACCAATCTTTGATCCCCAACATACCATATGGTATATGAGGCTGTCAGGGATGATCCTTGAGTGCAGTGCCCGGAATAAGCCCTGAGCATTGCTGGGTATAGCCCCTGCCAAAGTAAACACCTCTGCTGGCATCAAATGCCACCTCTCAGATTTTATTTGAATTGCTGTGTGTGTGTGTGTGTGTGTGTGTGTGTGTGTGTGTCACACAAAGTGATGCTCAGGGGTTATTCCTGGCTCATGCACTCAGGAATCACTCCTGGCGATGCTCAGGGGACCATATAGGATGCTGGGAATCAAACCTGGGTTGGCCATGTTGGCTGCGTGCAAGGCAAACACCCTACCTGCTGTGCTATCACTCCAGTCCCTTGAATTGCTTTTTGAAATAGATGACTCACTTAGAATTATGAGGTCAAATAAAGATGTATTCTCTTAACTTGCTTTTAGAAGCTTTCAAAAACCATGTGCTTCCCTATTCATCCACCCACAATTTTGTTCGTATTAAATTCTTCAAGCAGAACTTCACCCATAAATCCACCATTTACTCCTAATAGGTAAGGTAAAGGTAAAGGCCCTCCCGTTGATTGTCGATTTGCTCGAGCGGGCCCAGTAACGTCTCCATTGGATACTTTGTTGTTACTGTGTCTGGCATATCGAATACTCTCGGTAGCTTGCCGGGCTCTCCGAGAGGGGCGGAGGAATCGAACTCGGGTCGGCCATGTTGGCCGCTTGTAAGGCGAACGCCTTACCGCTGTGCTATCGCTCACTTTAATATGTTCTATATTAAAGTGAATTATTTTTTTAAAAAATATGAATTATAATATATATTTAATATCCCACATTGTCAACAAGATGTCTTAAAATTTAATCTTAAAAATGTAATATAGGAATGATGGCTGGAGGAATCGGTTGGGATGAGAGATGTGTGCAGAAAGTAGATAAAGGACCAAACATGATGACCTCTCAGTGTCTGTATTGCAAACCATAATGTCCAAAAGTAGAGAGAGATTACGGGGAATAATGTCTTCCATGGAGGCAGGGAGAGGGTGGGAAAAGAGGGATATACCATGGATATTGGTGGTGGGGAATGTGCACTGGTGGAAGGATGGGTTTTTGGTCATTGTGTGATTGTAACCCAAACATGAAAACTTGTAACTATCTCACGGTGATTCAATAAAATTTAAAAAAAAAGTAATATGGGGCTGGAGCGATAGCACAGAGGGTAGGGCTTTTGCCTTGCATGTGGCCAATTCTCGGGTTCGATTCCCAGCATCCCATATGGTCCCCAGAGCACTGCCAGGAGTAATTTCTGAGTGTAGAGCCAGGAGTAACCCCTGAGCATTGCTGCGTGTGACTCAAAAAGCAAAATAAAAAAATGTGATATAGAATTTACACGTTTACTGATAACATACGAATACGATGATGTCCACTGAAACAAACTCAGACTCTCATCAGAGAATTAAGCCAACAAAAAGAGTGAACCAAGAGGGTTCAATGGACTGTGGTGGAACTATATTAGCACCTTTGGGTAAGTGTGATGTGGTAAGCATACAAACCAATGCAAAATAAATTATAAAATAAATATATACATCAAAGAAGTTTGCAAGAAGTTGAGTCCAAGCTCGTGGGATAATTTTTGGAGGAAGAACTTTCGTGGATGAACTAATCACTGATGTGATGGAAACAGCAAGAAAACTCTAACTAGATAGAAATGTAGCCTGAAAATGTGATAACATTTCTGCAATATCAATTTAAAATTTAAACAGATGAGTTTCTTCTAATGGGTAGTACAGAAGGTTGTTTCTTTTTTTTAAAAATAAGTTTTATTGAATCACCTTACAATTACAAAATTGCATGAATATGATTCAAAATTGCATGAATATGTTTCAGTCATACAATGTTCCAGTATCCATCCCTCCAAAGTGCACATTTTCCAAAACCATTGTTCCCAGTGTCCACCCGCAACCTCCACCCCATCTTACTCCCTGCCTCTGTGGTAGGTACAAGAGAAGGTTGTTTCTTGAGGTGAAAACTACTCTTGGTGAATATGCCATGACCACTGTTGAAATGACAACAAAAGATTTAGGTCATATTAATAAGTGTAGACATGTTTCAGAAGTTTTACTCCAATTTGAAAGAAGTTGTACGTGAATAAAATGAAATTTTAAAATATGAGCCAAAGAGTAAACCCTGAGCTCAGCCAGGATGTAGTCAAAAAGAGACAAACAAAAATCACATGGCACAGAGAAATATTTTGTGAAAGGAAAAATCCATTAATCAATAAAACTTCCTTGTAACCTTTATAATATTCTATATGTGTGTACATGTGTGTTTGTGTGTGTGTGTGTATGTGTAAATCATTCATTGCAAACTTCAGCAATGACCATCTTGATCACTCAGGAGCTATTAACACTGCAGCAAGAACTTCCACACACATCAAAATTAACTGGCTAAAGACTCTGAGGGCAGCATTTATTGAAAGCAAGTAGCTTTAAATATGAAAAAATATCCGTATTATGTATGAAAAGAATTGTATCATAAAGTATATCTTCTTGGGCCCAAGCAATAGTTCAAAGGGGTCCACTGCTTGCCTTGCAAGTAGCCAACCCAGGTTCCACTGAGCCAGAAGTAAGTCCTAGGCACAGCTGAGTATGGCCAAAAATCAAAACCAAACAAAAATGTGTACCATCTCTAGCTCTTACCTTTATGTAAGGTTAAAGATTATCTCTAAGGAAATACATTCTTTAATAAATTACTATTTTTCAAATAGTAATTTTCAGAAATTAAATTTATACTTTCACTGAAATAATTTAACACCAATGCAATAATGCCAAGTAATACAAAGATGTTTCAATAAATAATCGATTTTTAATATGGCATAAAAAATATAATCTCTGTGGTAAATTTTACTCAATGTGTAACAGAAAGCAGATAAAAATATAATGCTAATTAGAGGCAATAAAGCAAGCTGTATCTATGATTAAAATGCCATGTATCTTTACCAACTTAATCAACTCCCATTTCAGTTGCCACGGACACAATTTAAAATTATTGATTTAACCAAAGTACACTGAAATAACTTTACTTCAAATTTTGCAACTTTGCTTGTCAAATGTCAAACAAAATGAAAATGTCACAAAGGGGCTGTGAAACTTGATGAGTCGGGGATTTTATATTAATGTTACTATTTGATCCTTTAGAAACTTATTCAATATCATAGAAACTATCAGTATAGCACTGTATAGCACTGTCCTCCCATTGTTCATCGATTTGTTCGACCAGGTACCAGTAACGTCTCCACTGGGAGACTTGTTACTGTTTTTGGCATATTGAATATGTCACGGTTAACTTGCCAGGCTTTGCCCTGCCGGTGAGATACTCTCAGTAGCTTGCTGGGCTCTCTGAGAGGGGCGGAGGAATCGAACCCTGGTTGGCCTCGTGCAAGGCAAACACCCTACCCTATTCACTCCAGCCCAGCAACTATCAGTAAAGGAGAAAACATAAAGCTACATGATATTAAGTGTTGTAGTATTTATAATTTTGGTATTAAGAAAAAAAAACCAGGAGGCCCACAATGGAAATAAATCTTTTTCAATAGTGTAAAACTTAGAAGAGCTTGTAAACAGGGTTAAAAAACACCAGAATTATTTATAAGAGTAATCTGAAGTGTTTCAACAATATAAAATGCTTTTCACAAAGTAAAAAAGTCATATTGACTACAAAGTTAACAGTGTAAACAGTATAAGTATCAAAAGATGTTCAATTTTTGCTTTTTTCAGTAAACAAGTTAATTTCACCATCAATGGACTACTCATACAATCAGAAATAGTTATTCAAATGATATAAGATTTATTTTTTAACGTTCTATCTAAATTTTCTTTAATTTACAAGCCTTGCCTGTTAAATCCCACAAGTGGAAGTGTGAAATTTGCAAAGAAAATACAAGTTGATACTACAACTCACCATTAATAATATATGCAAGCTTTATTATTTTCAATGGCACTATTACAAATTTTACTTACTTTACCACAATATTTCCTAAACACCGAGCCTTCAGCTTTTGCATGTTGTCATCCAAAATCATAACTAAAGTAAAGAAGAAATCAATTAATAGATAAAAATATAAATAGAATATAAACTTTAAGCTTAAGGTGCTTAAAGTTTAAACATTTCTATGTTTACTGTATACAGTCCCCCAAAATGATAACTCTAAAAAGACAACTTGTACTTTCCTAATATTATGAACATATATACATATACAGTTTTTTTTTTCTTTTTGGGTCACACCCAATGATGCTCAGGGGTTACTCCTGGCTCATGTACTCAGGAATTACTCCTGGTGGTGCTCAGGGGACCATATGGGATGCTGGGAATCGAACCCGGTTTGGCCGCATGCAAGGCAAACGCCTTACCCGCTGTACTACAGCTCCAGCACCACTATGAACATATAGAAACATGCAAAAATGTCATATAGTTTTGCTTCCTAACAAGATACATTTACTCCCTTTTAGAATCTCCCTTCAAAATATGTTTCAAACACGATAGCTACTTTTACTCTATCAAAGACATTAACATAAATTCAAGTATTTTCAAACTTCAAGAAAGTAACAAGTTTAAAATTTTCCCAGAATGGGGTCAGGAAGATAAAGCATGGAGCACATGGTTTGATGCAAATGCCCTGAGTTCAATCCCCGGCATATGCAACACTGCTCAGTATGGTCCTTGTGACCCTCAGCTTTGCCAAGCCTAAGCCAGAGCAACACCTTGTTGGCAGACTGAGCACTGAAATGTCTGACGCACGTTAGTAGGCCATATAGTCAGGAGTGGCCCCTGACTAGTGGGCTTGATGAGCACTGTTTGGGAGTCCTACACACTAGTTGAATAACACAAATAAAATTTACCAAAATATTTCAGCAACAAAATGAAAAAAAAATTTTAAATGTAGGAAAACACTTATTCTGATTTAAGTTTAGTATACATCTAGGTGTCATAATGATCTATTTAAATTTACTTTCCCATGTATATTTGCGATGCTTTTAATGTTAGTTCAAATCCTAAAAGCATTTTTAAGGTATCAGAACTCATACACATATTTAGTAACCCTTATTAAAAACTAAAAACTAGGAAATTGCTTAAGTTTTAGTATCTCGAATATATGGATGTCTCATCTACATTAGTCTACTGGAAAAAAAAAAACCTCTCCCTTCATTAAGGGTGAAAACTATGTTAATTCATCTTTGTTTCCTTTACTTAAAGTACAGTGGTAAATTTACTACAGGCCTTTAAGCACATAGCATTATCGCTATAATTTCTCTGCCCCAAAGTGGGAGCAATTCCTTACTCAAAGTGTGGGTGCAAGAATTCTTTGATGAAAAATAACAGGCTTGCTGAACATACTCCATGTTAACTAAGTATTATCAAAATTTCAATTCTACTGAATTTTTTTTTACAGAAAACAGTTTTGCTTCTTTTACCCAAAGAATATTATTTTATATTAAAATAGTGTTCATCGATTTGCTTGAGCGGGCCCAGTAACGTCTCCATTGTGAGACTTGTTGTTACTGTGTTTGGCATATTGAATACATCATGGGTAGCTTGCCAGGCTCAAGCAAGAAAAATTAAAATAGTGAATATTACATTATACATTTGAACCTATGAATAAAACAAACACAAAACATCATAAAATCTATGAGTCATAAAGTCACCACTCTGTGTTATAAATGCTTTAGTTCAAATGTTTAACTCATGCTGTTTGTAAGCAAATGGTTTTCAGAAAATGAGAAACGTCTATACTGAAATTCCACAATGGATCACAGCTTAACTCTTTCTCACAACAGGATATAAAATGGTACTGAGCTATGGAAAGGAAATGTGTTAGTCAGTTCCTACAACCACCCAGCCATAAAAACACCTCAACACAAAAGCAACTTTTATAATAAAGAGAGCTGATATGACAGAAATGTTCAAATACAGGATTACACTAAATCTGAGTTCACTTTCCATGCCTTGAGAAGTCGATAACTTCACAGAGTATTTCTGCCCTAAAACCAAAACCCCCAAAAAACAACAAAAATAAAACCCAACCTTCTATATTTTTATAGAAATATCTTCTAAGCTAAACTAAATGATCAATGTTTCCTTAACTAGCCATACCCTAGAAGGAAAAGGGATTGTTTTCAATTTAAGAAAGCAAAAGAAAACTCTATGAAAGCTATAATTTACATGCAAAAAGCAAGTACAAACAGAAATCACATTCTGTCCCCCTAAAGCTGGATTTTCTCTCTTAATTATTTGACCTTACAAGCCAAATCACACCACTTCTATGATGCTTTCTTTGCCTTTGTGAAAGTGAATGCATAATTCAAAATCTTGTCTTCCTGGATTCTCTTAAATATCAGTAAGCTAGTTAGTTGAGTTTAGTCTTTCTGTTGGTAGATATTTATGTAAATGCTTCCCTGTGATCCATCAGAACATGGAGCATATAGACTTATACCTGAAAATAAGGAAATTGAATGTTTGAAAATTTAGTTAGATCAGTCGCATAATTGTGCAACTAGACAATGAAGCCTAAGAGAAATAATTGAATTATTATAATACTATACAATTTTAAAATACTGAAAGGATATTGTATCTCGTTGATACAAGTTTATTCAAAGCAATGTCCTTTTTGTATGGACACAAGAAGACATGCATTTGTAATGTGACTCTCAGTGATATTTCCCTCCCAGGCATCTGTTCTCTCACCTAAGCCTCAGCTGCCTTTACTTCCTAGCACCCCCAAAATCAGGGCCCCGACGAGGGACTGGATGGAACCAGGGCAAGCGGTAAGCTGTGTGCTACCCTGGCATCGAGATGGGCCTGGCCAAAGCGCCATAATGCTTAACTATAAGTTAAGAGCTTTGTCATGAACAAATGCTGTCATGATCCAAAAAGTAATAACTAGATTTGGACCTTGATAGGGTTAAGAATGATTAATCTGGCCTGAGTGCTGTAGTCTGAATCTGTGGCCAGATGTTCCCAGGAGAGCTGCCCTACAAGTCTCAATGCATGTCTTCTTGTCCTACAAAAGTTACTTTGTCTCTCTGGATACAATATATCATCTTTTAGTATGGGGTCACTCTGGGCTTACTCCTAGCTATGTGCTCAGGGATCACTCCTGCTGGTGCTTGGGAGTCGATATGTGTTGCTCAGTATTTAACTGAGGTTGGCTGACACAACTTAATTCCTGTACTATCTTTCCAGCCCACATCATAATTTTTTCAGTCTGTAATTTTATTTTTTCCCATTTGAACAATTATTAAAAGTTGAATTTTTCATTCCCAACAATATTTAGAACTAAAACTTTAATGTTTCACAAAACATTAGCTACTTTCTATGTGTATGATACATTGTAGTGTTTTTAATGCTGGTCTATGTATTTTTTTAACTTTTTAATTGAATCAGTGTGAGATAGATCCTTGAAAAGCTGTTCCTAATTAGATTTCAGTCATACAGTGTTCCAACACCCATCCCCCCACCAGTGTACATTTCCCAGCACTAGTGTCTCCAGGTTCTGTTCCATCACCCCCCACCTGCATCTATGGCAGGCACTTTTCCTCTCCCTTTCCCTCTCCCTCCCTTCCTCCTTCCCTCTCCTTTGGGGCTTTGTGGTTTGCAATATTGATACTGAAAGAATATTTAGTTATAATAAAGGGTTATCAAGAATATCCCTCATCTATCTTTTTAATTTTTTTCAGATTTTTATTAGTGAAACACCATGAGGTACAGTTGTAGGTTCACAAATTTTTTGTGCTTGGGTTTCAGTTATACAATGATTGAATACCCATCCCTCCACCAGTGCTCATTCTCTATCACCACTGATCCCAGTAACCCTCCCACCCATCCCACCCTGCCTCTGTGGCAGGGCATTGTTCTCTCTTTCCTTTTGGGTGCTATGGTTTGCAAAAGAGGCATTGAGTAGCAATCATGTTCAGTCTAAAGTCTACTCTCAGCACGCATCTCCCATCCTGGGAGGATCCTCCCAACACCCTTTATTTGGTCCTCCCTTCTTTTTTAAATGTTTTTGAATCACCGTGAGATAGTTACAAGTTTTCATGTTTGAGTTGAGACTCAAAATTGAGACTATAATTTTTTTAACAGTGTTCATCTAAGAACATTGCACCTAAAACTGCATTTCAGTGTTTTATCAACTCATTCCCAGTATATCGTTCTTGATTTTCAAAGAGACCCACAACCTTAGGAAGGAATCACACAATGATCAAACACCCATCCCTCCACCTGTGCACATTGCCCACCACCAATTTCCCAGATATACCCCACCTTTCCCACCCTTCCCCTGCCTCCACCTATTTTTAACCCGCAGATCTTGCCAAGCATGATCATTCCCAGCTATTATTGTCATATGGTCTCTTCTCTATCTTACCTACCCTCAGCCCCACACACACTTGTGGTTAGTTCCAACCATTGACCAGTCCTCCTAACCCATGTTTTCCCTGACCACGGATATTATTATTGTTCCATATACTTTTTTTTATATACCACAAATGAATGCAGTCATTCTATATCTGTCCCTTTCCTTCTGACTCATCTCACTCAGCATAATATTCTCCATGTCCATCCATTTATAGGCAAATTTCATGACTTCATTTTTCCTGACATCTGCATAGCATTCCATCGTGTAGATGTGTCATAGTTTCTTTATCCATTCATCTAATCTTGGGCACTTAGGTTATTTCCAGATTCTGGCTACCCACATATTTTTTTTAAAAAAATAACCTAATTGAATTAAATATAGAGATACCTGTAAAATACTAGGCACCTTCTAGGTATCCATACAAATTAATTTCTCATTCATATTTGAAATATGCTTTGTATGACTGTTATTAAGAACATATTTTTGGAATTTTACAATTTTACTATTTATCAAAAAACAAAGACATTCATCTCTAATACAATATCTTTATTCAAAATACTGATTAGATACCTAGGATAGTCATTAAAACATGATAAATGAAATAATATAAAATATATTAAGATAATTTATTTCAAATAATTAAGAGTATTTCTCACCATTGTAACCTGGAACACTTTTTCCTGCTTGCCCTGGAGGAGGTGTTTTGGAATTACCTAATCCAATGCACGATGCTGTAATTGGGGATCCTGTCTCTGGAAAAAAAAATTCATTCTTTAATATTTCAGCTCGAGATTATGAAGCCTCTTCAGCGAACACACTGCCTATCCTCCCTCACCAATTTCTGACAGCATGTAAATGTCTTGAGAATAGGTGAATTTTGTAAATGTACAATTTAAAAAAATAAAAAACTAGTCTTTTATATGATCACTTTTTAAAACTTAAAGATCCATATATAGAATAATTTACATAACAGTGACTGTTTTTTAAGGAAACATTTCTCACTATCTCAGAGGATGATCAGAAGGCAAATAAGGTGACTGTGATGGTGAAAGTTTAACACTTGAGAAAAACTATATCATTTCTAAAAAGATGCTTCCTTTTAATTCCCTGAAGTTTGTTCATAATTGTAGAGAGAAGCATAAAACAAAACATTTCTGTCATTTATAACTTAATCTCTAGAAAAAGTCATCTAAAGATTTAAAAATATATGATGAAAAATAGACTATAATTTTTTTAACAGTGTTCATCTAAGGACATTGCACCTAAAACTGCATTTCAGTGTTTTATCAACTCGTTCCCAGTATATCGTTCTTGATTTTCAAAGAGACCCACAACCTTAGGAAGGAAGACGTTTATGTAATGTCTCTTCACCACAATTTGGCAGTGTTTATGAACATAGGGCTGAAGTGATATCCCAGCGGGTAGAGCGTTTGCCTTGCACGTGGCCGACCCGGCTGACCGAGGTTTGATTCCTCGGCCTCTCTCAGAGAGCCCGGCAAGCTACCGAGAGTATCTCGCCCGCACGGCAGAGCCTGGCAAACTACCCGTGACGTATTCGATATGCCAAACACAGTAACAACAAGTCTCACAATGGAGATGTTACTGGGCCCGGTCAAGCAAACAGATGAACAGGAGGACAGTGCTACAGTGCTACAGTGAACATAAGTGTAGTCATTTTTCCTGACTCATGTAATGTTAAGCCCAGGACTATGGGTTCCTAAGTGGTGAGATGCTTAACTATTCTATGAACTGTGGATTCCTGGCCAATCCAGTGTTTTGCTGACTTAAGAACACAAAACCAATAATGCAAAAGCAGTAGGAGCTTTATTCCCGTATACTGGGGTCAACTATCTCACCCACAGAGTAGTCTCTTGATAGTGACCCCGGCTTCAGGCAACAAACAATTTAAATAGGGTTTGATTACATAAGCAGTGCATGTTTATTGTTTCAGAAAAGAATCTAACTTAATTATCAAACAAATGTGTTTTGGCAAGTGTCTAGAGTAACAGTAGTCAGGCAATAGTTAAACAATAGTTTCCACTCTTAGTTTACAGTTCCATATGCTACTCATTCTTTCAGGGTTAACAAAAGACAATTTCTGGGGGTTTTTTTGACTGGGGCATAATGGTTGTTGAGCCCACTTGCTGTGCCCAGAAACTTTTCCAGATGGGCTCAGGTTGGCTAGTTACACATTGTTTCATTGCTGGGAAACTGAAACTATTTTAGGGAACTGTTTTGTAAGGGAACCTGAGGCCTAACTGATTTTGCTGATTTCTGGGACCTGTCATGGCATCAGTTTCACCCTTACATTTCCCACTTTTTATTCTGCCTCCAAGAGGAATCATACTCTTGCATGCTTAACTATTCTATGGACTGTGGATTCCTGGCCAATCCAGTGTATTGCTGACTTAAGAACACAAACTGTATTGTATTTATTCTGCCCTTAACAAAAATCACTAGCTTGATCAGGATGCAGGGGCCCATGGTAGCAAAAGCAGGAGCACTAGGAGTTTCATGTGGAATGGGATCAGGGTGACAAGTTGACTTTTCAGCTCTCCTCCATAACAATATTCCTGTTGCACATTTTTTACCATTAAATGCAATTTAAGAGAACCGGGATCAGCAAAATAGGAAGAAGACAGGCATCGGATTGGGTGCAAGCAAGCCAAATAGGTTTTCAGTTTGGAGCTAAAAGTATTAGACATGATGTTGTTAAACGGTATAATCTGTTTCTACAGAAGTTAAAGCTTCTTTTGACTAGGACTCGTAGAAAACGGGTACATCTCATTGTGAATAAGGTGAAATATCTGCTTTTCCCTCCCTTTGTACCTTCAACAGATTTGTTAGTGTCTCATGGCATTATGTGCATTTGCACGAACTTAGACAAAAGTCTTTGTTCTCTGCAATAGGTTCACCTCTGGTGCAGACAGGAAAACTAGCTATGGGAACCCAAAGCCCTCTTCCAGGGAAACAGTCAGGGATTGGTTTAAGTGACGGAAGCAGGTATTCAAGAGGTACTGTTAAAAGTGCCCTACAAACCACAGGGTAAACCAAGAGGAAGTCTGGCTCAAGAAAGGACTGGACATCATCTGTGCCGTGGAAAATGAGGAAGCTGGAAATTTGCAATGACTGACTCAGCCTGAGCCCTGCCCTCAGTGTCCAAGAACTGGAGGCTGGGATCTCTCCCAGTCCTAAAGAAGAGATGGGATGGACTCCAAAATGTCAGGACACTCATATGGAGGGTGAGAGACCTGGGGCCACATCCAGTTCAACCTGAAGGTTCTACCTTGAGTTCATTGTGGGACCTGATCTTCACATCTTATGACCAAGCCTGGGGTAGCCTTGACGTGAGTTAAAACAATACTATTAGTGGTATGTCTCCTGCTCGGTCTTTGACTTCTCAGTAAGTAATAGGGTCCCCCAAATGGAAGCAATCTTGCTGTGCTTATGCAAAAGAATGAGTTGGGGTTTGTTAAGCTCTCTGGAAAATTTAAAATGAAGGAGAAAAAAACCAAGTTTCTGTAACTTGCTTTTTAAGACTGAGATTCTAGTTCTACAAAGATGACTGAATAATTGGGTAATTTAGTAAGTAAGCTCCCTAGTCTATAAAGAAACAATGTTGAACATGCTCTCACCAGTCTGGCCAGAAAAGTAGAAGCCAGAGCTTAACCAGGGTAACCTCAGCTCAAAGTGCAGGATCAATTGCTTTCCCCCAGCCTGTCAATTGGCTAAAGTATTGAGAGTGGACATCTAAACTGGTTCTTTTAGATCTATGAATACATATAGTATTGTATAGTATTCATATACATATTGTATATGAATATAAATACAAATACATACTGGGGCTAGAGCGATAGCACTGCACGCAGCTGACTCAGTCAACCCGAATTTGGTTCCTCCGCCCCTCTTGGAGAGCCCGGCAAGCTACGGAGAGTATATCACCCGCACGGCAAAGCCTCGCAAGCTACCTGTGATGTATTCAATATGCCAAACACAGTAACAACGAGTTTCACAATGGAGATGTTACTGGGCCCACTTGAGCAAAATCGATGAACAATGGGAGGACAGTGCTACTATACTACTACTATTTCTTTTATATCTTTGGGCTGAAGTGATAGGACAGTGGTCGGGTGTTTGCCTTGCACACAGCCAACATGGCCGACCTGAGTTTGAGTACTCCGACGTCTCAGAGAGCCCGACAACCTACGGAGAGTATCTTGCCCTCAAGGCAAAGCCTGGCAAGCCACCTGTGACATATTCGATATGCCAAACACAGTAACAAGTGTCACAATGGAGACATTATTGGGCCTACTTGAGCAAATCGATGAACAAGGGGAGGACAGTGACAGTGATACTTATTGGCGAGAACAGAGTTTTTTTTAAAGCTGTTAATTCTTGTTCCATCCTGGATTAATACCCCATTTAGAAAATATTTCTTCTAAATATTAATTAAATTAATTAAATATAAAGAGGGAGAATGGGCATTGGAATGAGGTTTCTAAAGGAAAGTTGAAAATTACTGATCCCTACACTAATACAATGGAATATTTGTGAAAAGAATGAACAGGGCAGTAAGAAATAACTTAGAATGGTACTTCCTACGCCATTGATAATTGGTTTTTGTACCCGCAGCATTTGAGCACATCATTGGTTTTTCCGCCTTCAAGGTCTGGTCTAATCAAAGTAGCATTCCTTAGCCTAACTGACAGGATCTTTCAAATTCATAGTGTGGGGGTCATTAAAAACAAAGGTAGTTTGAGATTTCAACCCTTGTGCGGGCAGGGTCAGTGCCCCTGTGTCAGCAGGAAGCAGCTCCAGAAGATGGAACTTCGACTATTTTCCCTTTAAAAATTTAAGGGGGTGAAATCTCTAGGGGAATATTATGTAGGTAGGTAGATTAAGGAAATCCCCCTAAAAAATCCTTTCCAATTGCCCTGTTGTGAGAGTATACCATCCCTTACTGAGGAACTCTGTTCCCTTTGAAATTCTTTTGGGTCGACTGCCAATACTCCAACTTAGCCTTGTAAAAGGAATTGTAGGCCAGAATGTATGATCTCTCTCTTCTCTAGTCGTTACTGGCCCTACAGGTACCAGTTCTTGTCGTGTTATTACATGACAAGAACCAATTACTAAAACCAATAATTTTGCAATAAAACATATATTTATTACTATAACTAAAATTTTAAGTTAACTAAAAATTTTGAATCCAGTAATTGAAATTTATGAGATAAGATTAGAAAGTAGTGACAGTGGCAAGTTTTGGAGCTATGGACTTAGCATTATTTCTACAAAAATACACATGCGAGCAGCCAGGCGACTGCCATGCCAATGAGACCCAAAATAACCCCCAATATTAAAAGCATCTATCTTCTCAAGGACTCAAAATGTATTCCTTCCACTATGGCCTGCACCATAATTTATCATGTATTTCTATCACTTTAAAATCATGGGAAGAATTTATTACTGTTCTTGGGTTTTCAGAGTAGTTCAGATTATTATTCACATTTTATGGATGGAGGCTCAGCTGGCATCAATAGCAGGAGATGGACTCCTAAACATTTAACAATTTAACATGGTTTCTAAATCACAGTCCAGAGTTTAAAGAGCTAAGCCATATGGTCACCTCTGAGGTGAAGCAACACAAAATCAGAGCAGACAGTGCTGGTGTATAGCAAAGTTCTAAAATATTCTCAGACAGGACAGAGAGAGAGAGAGAGAGAGAGAGAGAGAGAGAGAGAGAGAGATGGGGAGC